TGTGACAGAGCAGCAGAGCTGCTACAAGAGGCTACAAGAGGTTAAGTCTGTCAGCCCAGAGGACAGAGAGAAAGTTAGGATCTCCAGATTGAGAAGTGTACACATTGCTAAGGGGGAGAAATAGAAGAGTGGAGTCTGACAAACACCAGTTCCAAACTCTGTACGATAAAGAAACAGAGTAGACACCAGGTGCCCAGCTTTCGGACAGGGCTGCAGTACCACTACCTTCTCTTCCTCCCCAACAGCCCAGCGCAGGGAGGAAGGAATATGATAGAGCCCAATCTTGTGACATGAGAAAGAGAAAATATTTTGTATGGGATGTATTTGATATCCCTGAATCACAGACCCTCAATTTCTAAAAGTTTTTGGGCACCCAGGCAACTGGCTGGTTGAGCAGAAAAGATGAAAGATTATCTATGGAGTTGGTAGGTGCCTGCTCCCAGAAAGACTCAGGCTAACAGTGCTGTTCTGCCTAGTAGGTTACATTCATCCTATTCTACTAATGAAGAAAACCTGGACAACTCCTCCAACTTGGTGACCTAGTCCCAAAACTGACTTTGCATCAGAATCATTAAAACTCCTAAGGAACTGACTGTACACACTAAAACACTCCCATCTTCAGAGATCTGATTCAGGAGGTCTAAATAAGAGCCTAGAACCACAATCACTTGGTAAAAACACAAAGGATGACATATTTTCTAGAACAAAGACAACTCTTACTTAGCATCCATGGATGTGAATTACTCAATCAAACTTACAATTTGATGCTTCCAATTCAGAAGTATATTAACTATTTTATTAAGCACCTAATTACCAGTAAAACACTAGCCCTGTGAAAGATACAGGCATGAGTTAAGTGCTTGTCCTTATTCTTGTGGGGCAACAAATTCTAGGAGAGACAACAAACACAAATGAGACAACAAGCAGAATGTTATTCATGAGAGGTATAAACAAATATTATGGGGATCTATGATTATGAAGGCCAACTATAAATCATTTTGGAGCTACTTAAAACTGGTGGTTAGAACATTTCAGGCAAACATTTCAGGTCTTTCTGTGAACTATGTATGTGGTTATTTTTGCAAACTACCTTTACTGAGCATAAACAAGTATATGACTTTTCAAAAATGATCATTCCTATTCAAAAGGTGGTTTTAGTTTAAGTCAGTAAACTGTTTTATGTTTTGTTAGCAAACTCAGAACAGCTTTTACTATTTTGGCTTTTCCTAAAGTAAAAAGGGAAAGTAATTACCAAAGAGTAGTACAATGTGCAAAAAAAAATAATAATAAATAAGTTATGAGCTTTGTCATGTTCATCATGGATGGCCATTTGTATTTACAGTACATAGTACCAAGATAAAACACTTCCGTGACCTAACCTATAACTTACCATGGGAGTATGCATCTGAATTCCTAAAAGCTTCAGGGGGAGAAATTATGTTAAGATTTTCTAAAAGCTTCAAAGAAACAAGAGGAGAACAACAAGCAAATCATTGTACTCCACTCTGGTACACTTTTAGCCTTCAAAAATCTATCTTAGTCAGATTTTAATGACTTCTTACTGTGAAATACAAAACGTATAAATCAGGACACAAAAAAAGTCAAGCCATTCTTAATGTATAAAGGGCCAACACAATACTGGTAGTTTCTTTTTTAAAAGATTTATTTTTTATTTATTTGTGCACACAAGAATTAAGGTGCAGAACAGAGTCTGGGGGTAGGGGGAGGTCAGAGGATTCACTAGAGACAAAAGGGGAAGCAGAACAGGCAGATCTACTGAAATAAATTGCTGAGGGGTGCAGTGGGCAAGACAGAAGTGGTCTGCTGTGCCATGTGGGTCAGCTCCCTGGCTGGGGCTGAAACGCGTGCTGCCGTGGCTGACAATAGCCTATAGCACTGAGACTTTTACCCTGTATCACCAGGTAGGCCCACTAACTTTCCTTTAAAAAATAAATTGAACAACAATTTGTGAATTTTTGTTTCTGCTATTGACAACAGACTACTAGGTTTTGGGGGGGAATGACACTGATACTACAAGGAGGGTTACGTGTGTGTGTGGGGGGGGGGTAATCACAAAGAGGAAAAAGGGAAGATGTCCCGTAACCATATACCTTATTAAGGTAACATGAGGTAATTCCACTTCATGAAGTAAAATATGATTGGAAATAGGTTCTCAGGCATTTATTTTTTAAAGGAAGGGACTTCTAGTGAAAAACCATGTGCTTGGGACACAGAAGATTTATTATAGATATAAGCCTGACCAGGTTATATAAGTTGTCTTGTAACAGGGTGGTCCCCAGGAAAAGGGGGAGTTCCAGGTTCCCTGCCACACCCAGGAGAGTGGAAATGAGCAGAGAAAATAAGAAAAGAGAAAGAATCTGAAGAAGGAAGAAGGATGAGAGCCAGAAGGAGATTTTAGGAAGCCACATGGAGCAGCAAGCATGCGATGAAGAAACTGTGCTTGTTTCTTGGCCCTGAAATGGTTAAAACAGATGTGGGTGAGAGACCTGTGGGAATGTTTACATGGCAGTGTTTATATTGATTCTGATTTTGCTCTTTTCCTCCCAGACTTGTCTGGCCATTTCTGACCCTTTTCTATGGGTCCGGGCCAGAAGGTGCTTTAGTCTTGTATCGGGCTTTCAGGCCTTGCTTGGACCAATCCCTTTTGGGTGGGCTTTTATCAAGAGGTGCTGGGTAACTTTGGGTGTTTGGTTTAGAAGTTATATTGTTTGTCTTTCTTATTGTATACTCACTGTATTAAAGTTCCTTTTCATTAAAGTCTTATATGTTTTGTCTTGATGTGGTGGGTGGCAGAACCTATTTAGAACAGGCAGGTTTGGGGGTTCAGCAGTGCCTCTCTCCCTGTCCTGTAACAGTCTGAATTCCAATTTACCTACCTGTAAAATATAATCATTTAATACATGCGGTGCAAAGCTCTATTCTAGGTGTGATATTTGAATAAATCCTTGCTATCAAAGAGCTTACATTTTAATCAGAAGAACATGTAGAAAAATACAAAATAAAAAACTGAGATACTTTATGAGACTGACCTGCTGCCTACTGTGCTAAGGAAGCAACTAAAAGCCGAGGTATTTTAAAACAGTAAAGTCAGATAATAATGAGAAAAATAAATTCAGAACAAGGTTTCAAAGAGTAGTCAGGCATAATTTTACTCCAAAACAAAACACTTGGGAAAAAATATGAAGAAAATGAAGGAAAGAGCCAAACAGATGCTTGGAGTCACAAAAGGGAGCAGTATGAGTAAAGAAAGGCCCAAGGGTAGAAATATGCTTGGTTTGCTAAAGGAACAGTAAGAAAGTTAGTGTAGTTGATACAGAGTAACAGAAGAAAGAGCCATCGAAAATGAGGTCAAGGTTTTGCAGGGTAAGGAGGCTATGATATGAACTCTGGCTTTTCCTCGGGGCACAATGGGAAGCCACTGGAAGGTTTGGAACACAGACAAGTGCTTGATCTGACTTATAAATCAACAATAAACATTTACCACATAAAATTATTTTAAGAGGAGCAAATGCAATGTGAGATTTTTTTTAACTGGAGAAAGCTTTTAAAATATGAAACATTCTACTGTATCACTTTCTACTTGTCTTTCTACTTGCACTGTGTTCCACACAAAACAGTAGTAAGAGCTAAGAACTTTCATTTTTTAGTACTTTTGGTTCAGTACTTTTGATTTTATGATTTTAGTATTTGTGTTGCCAAAGCAAGCACCTTGGTTGTATGACTTTAAATCAAACCACGGAAAGTCACATTTCATCATGGAAGGAAAAAAAGACCATAAAAAAGGCCACTATTACCAAACAGCAGTAAGTTATGAAATATATTCACTGAATATTTTCCTCTGAACAGTCCAGAAAAAAATGGAAGTTCCAGGAGATTCTCCATTTATCACGATGACTATCCAAATCAAACATCTATCAAAGTGATGTTGCATTGTGTAAGTTAAATTGTTATTAAACTCGATAAACATCTCACCATCAAATCATTTTTGGTGGCATTTATGAGAACAGATGGCCCTGTTAATTTATAAGGAAAAACCAGTGCCATGTGAAGTGACACTGAAAACGGAAACTAGAGGATTTCCCTAAGGTTTGTGCTTTTACTGCTTTTTTTGGGGGGGGGTGCTGGGGGAGGGGTTCCTAGTGTAAATCTGTCATTTCATCTAATGTCTAGATACTAGTAAATGAAAATACATATAGCCATCACTAATTCCAGAGTCACAATGCGAAGTATTGACTGGACACTGTTATCTGATGTCCTGCTAGCAATATACTCCCAAGTAAGTTTTTACTGCTTTCAACGTTTTAAACACTTTAACTCCGTACTAAATCATTCCGTCTTAAACCTCACCCTCGGAGAACAATTCTGTTATTACTTCCATTTAACAGTTAAAAGTTATTTAGCGTAAAGTCATATTTTAAGAAAGAAAACCAGCACTGGACTAAGGCATTTTTTGCTCCAGAACCGATGCACATAACCACTAGTGCACGCAACGACGACTTAACTTTGTATTTAAGTGTAATACATATGAAACAAAACTCAGCGACTCTCTTAGCCGTCCTGCAAATAAGCTCTCAACGCCCCATTTGGGGGAAAGAAAGTAAATTTCAATCGCCTGGCCTCAAAACTCAAGTAATCGCTCATGCCTCCATTCCGGCATACTCTGGGGAAGCCCAGGTTGCCGCCAAGCTAAAATTTCACTAAACAGACCACAGGAACAACGTCCAAAGAAGGGACATTTTCCACAAACCCCGGGGGTGTGTCGCGGCGGTTTCTGGGGTACCTAGTGGAGTCTGCATCACAACCTGCCTCTCTGCTTTTGAAATCAACTCGTGTCCAGACCGACAGACCCCGCGACTGCCCCGTCTGTGGGTCTCACTCGCCCTCCAGCAGCTCCGTACCTCCACACTTCACTTCAAGCCCGGAACCATCTCTAACCCAGCCTCCCCTTCCTTCCTTTCCCTAGCAGTAGCAGCTTTTACCTGATCTTCTGCTTCCGCCATGGTGCCAGCCGGGGAGTCACATGACACGCACGGAAATAAGAGAAAACTGGACACTGGGCCTGGAGCCTTCTGGGAAATGTAGTTTCAGCAACTTAAAGGCGGGGCCTATTGGACCTCGTTTTCCTTCTGACTCAGCAAGCTTTAAGAAGTTGTACTTTGGGGATTCTGAATGTAATCTTTGTCAACGCTAGGACTTCTTTTGTTGCTGCATTTATAAAGTGTTTATTAATATGTGACATATATAATAACTTGGGTTCTTGTAAGCCTCGCTAATAGCAATCCCTACTGTTATTCCCACTTACAGAGAACAGGATGGCTCAGAGGTCACACAGCTAGTATGAGGAAGAAGTAGCGTTAGAATTTGGGCTGTTCTGATGCCAGAGACTCTGATTATTAATGCTGCTCAGATTAAATATGTTTTTGCTTTCATTTTTAAGTACATTAAACGAGTACACAGTTTTATGGTAAAGAACAGCTTATACTTCAAAAATATTTATTTAGCACCTATTCCTTGCTGTTTTGATATTCTTTTGCTGCCATCTGGATGTTGAAAAATTATTTTAAATCTCTGTTAAATTGTTTGTTAAATGCTTATTGGGTATATTACATAGGTAATTCTTCATGAGAAAATATAAATTTGTTCTTGGTAAAATCTGTAAACCTACATTATTATTTTCATCTTTTAGAATGAATGATTGTCCCTCTGAGTATGATTCTGGACATTATGAAATCTTCCCTAATCCTCGGGAATTTTCAGTACCTGTCCAAAGATGGGTACTTTCTTCTCTCCACTCATCTCCTATTACTAGCAGAGGGCATCAGAATAACAACATGTGATGGGTACCCAGTGCTTGGTCTGACTTCCTTGGCTACATAGGCTATTATGGAGTTATGGAGTCAACATGCTGCGCCTTTCAAGTCTCTAGCTATAACCCCTCAACTCATGATCTTTCTGTGGCCATGATGATGTCATCTGACATGCTTTTTCTTCTCTCCAGGTCTGAAACAGCCTTAGCTCTGTCCTCTTCCTTCAAGTCTTGCTAGGGTCCTTCTTTCAGTCTGTTGATTTTTCTGCCACATGTCACAGGGAATTAAAATGGACCAGCCAAGAGCACTCATAAATTCTAACCAAGAGTACCTTACCCACTTTAGAGTCTCTTGCAGAGTATTTGGGGACCAACATTTGCTCATGATGGACACCAGTCCCACAATGATCCTCATGCACACTAAAGAAACTGATAATCCTGAGTCTAGTCTCTACCAGTAAAAGAAACAAGCTTAGACCCTATGCTTCTCTGAATTTCTTCACAAACTAATCTTTCCTTTTTCTAATATGAACTAGACCCACCCATAAATCTCTAATGGACATAATTGAAAATACAGTCAAATTTCACTACAGTTCTCCTCTGCTCAATATCTGAGACTCTTCTCCATTTTTCTCCCACTCAGTGTTCTCACTGGACTAAATAGAATATGATAATCTTAGGAATAATATATTATTATAAATTAATGTTACATACATATTATGAACATTAGCTATATCGCTGTTTTCTGTGGACAGAATAGAAAGTGGAGATATACAAATATAGAAAGATAAATTAGAGGAAATAACCTGCTACAGATTAATAGCAGATTAATCTGTGGGTGATGTGAAATTCAGATAAAACCTTGGAGCCCCAAGTTTTCTCATGAGAAATGAGAGCTTGGGTTCTCTTGTTTAGGCTGTCCTCTAGTATCCTGTTACTCAAAGTGTGGTCAACAAATAGGATCAATATCATTTGGAAATTTATTGAAATGAAGAGTTTAAGACCAGAGCTGCATTTTAATAATATTGCTAGGCAACATCTCTGTAACGTGGAGTTTAACAGTGTTCAGTATTACAGTCATTCTGTGGAAAAACCATGTGTTTCATGCTCAACATTGGTTCACCTCTCCTACCAATAAGCTATGGAATTAACTTCTCATTCTCAGGCTATTGGACCATGAAAAAATTTCAGACTGAGAATAAGAAGTTGACCCTGTTCCATTAAAAAACCTTGTATTTTTAGGGTGGTCCACTTGTTTTAAGGACATGTTTCATAAGTTTGTTAGTTGAAAATAGTTTATTAACTCAATATTTTATCATAATAACCTTATTTTATCATAATAATATATTTTATTGTTTCAATGATAAGACTGGCTTCAATAGCTTAAATTTTAAAGGAGTTTTTCTAAATTTTAGGAAAGTTGAAAAATCAGCAATGTGAAAACACGAAATTTACCTCTACATCTCTTCTCTTAGCAGATACTTTATACATTCTTTCTCAATCTTTGTCTTCTTTTTTTGTTTTCATTAAAAAAATATTTATGTATATAGAACTGGGGTACAAGCCAGAGGTGCAGGGCTGGTGAGAGGATTCACCAAAGACAGAGAGGGCAGCAGAACAAGCAGATCGATGAAATACACTGCTGAGGGGAGCAGTGGGTGAGACAGGAGTGGTCTGCCACGCCCAGTGTTTCACCTGCCTGGCCCCCGCGATAACACATAACAAGATGGCTGTGGCTACTTTCCATAGTGCTGCACTTAAACCTGTTGTGCCACCAGAGAGGGACTCCAATCTTTATCTTCTATTTCTTCTTAGATTGCTATGTTTTTCAATGTCAAGGTCTTTCTTGACAACCATGACAAGAATGTTATATCACATTATGCTACTGGTTCCAAGCAATGGTCTTACTCTTCCTTTAATTAATTTCCTCTACCAAATACCTAAATTAATATTTAATAATCTTTAGTGATTTTGTAAAGCTTCAGCTTATTTTGTAGTTCAGTTTTTCAAAACCTGTACCGACTGAAACCTCCTAATATTTTAGATGTCATTTTAAGATAAAGCTTTTTGGAAGATTTTTTTCTAATTGTAAAAATAATGCATATTGGTAATAAAATTAAAGAGTTATTTGTAAATTTTTTCCAGTGAAGTCATTACTGTTGAATAATTTCTTCTCTTGCTAATTCTCTGTCCCTCTCTCCCTCTCTTCCTTTTTATTCGGTGTTACTTTAAATTATTTTTTTAAACAATCATATAATCAAGTTTTATTATCTGCTTTTTCACTTAGTCATACTTCAAGATTATTTCCAGTAATATTATAAAATGCTATTCCAAAACAAGACTTAGTGATGAACATTGATATTATATTCTATGGAAATACATTAATTTATATAATTAATTATTTTCAATTATATAATTTGAGTCTATCTAATTAGCTTCCAGGTACAGTTTTGTCAGCTACTCTAATGAAAGGTGATGTCAATTGTTGAATTAAATGAAAACAACCCAATGAGAAATGCCAAAGCTTATTTATTCAGAGTTTATTCCAGCAAGATTGTCACCCGCTCTTATATTTTGCAAGGCTCAAAGATATAGTAGTGGGTAAACTAATAATAAGAAAAAAGGGAAGGCTTTGTGTATATACCGATTACAGGCTGTTGGCATTGGGAAATTGAAGGTGGGGCAACCAGAAGGGGGTACCCCATGTGAGTGGTTAGAGGTACATATTTAGCTTTCTCACATTGGTCTTAAGTAAGGAGCAGTGACAATAACTGGAGAAGCCATCAGTATATTAGTCAATTTCTGGCCATTTTGAGCTGGTTGTTAAAGAAGTTGTTCATGTCTTGGATTTTTAATAGTGATAGCAGTGTAACTTCCTGCAAGTCTGACTTATAGCACACTGACATCCCAGACTGTTTTTTGTAGATAAGGACTTGGTTTTCTGGACCAGTTGCTGCAGGTTGTGAGACACAGTTCTGATTTTATTCTGCCTGGCCATTTTTCCATTTGATAAAAAAAAATTATTTTTATAAAACAAAAATGGAACCAGTAGAGCCTATATAAAAACCAAAGAGAATGGGGAGCTGTTGAGGGTCAAGTCCCAGGCATGTCCAGTCCAGGCACACTTGCAAGTTCAGGCATGCCCAGATATGTCCACCAGTGAGAAGAAAATGAAGCCGCAACAGCAAGCCTAAACTTGGCTAGGATTAAAACTCAATCGATTACCACTTGACAAACTTTCAACCTACCAGAACTGACTGCATTAACTGAAGACTCGTTTATAAAAAGCAGACTTAAGCATGGATGAGCCTCACTTTTGTTTACATGTATGTAAGTACTCCCTTTGCCAGGGAACTCCAAAATACAGCTCAAGAGTTGAGTCTGTGTCACCTGGGCTGCAGTCCTGAAGCCCAGAATAAATGTTTGCTGTAACACCCCACCTATAAAAAGCTTGCTATAATTTGCTGTAACTCAACCATACCTCAACCATGCCATCATTGTCTAGAGTGTGTGTACACAATCTCACATGTACTGTATTCCTACCAGCTAGATGTGAGATCTCTAAATCCTCCTACCATCAAACATTAGGTGTAATAATTTTCTTAAAATATAAACAGGGCCCTCCCTGGTGGCCCAGCGGGTTAAAGCACAGCACTAAGAAGCTAAAGCCTCTTCAGCATGAGCTCAATCCCCAGCCCGGAGGTGATCCACATGGCGCCACAGACCTCCCCTGACCTGCCCGCTGATCTCCTCTGCAGTGTACTTGGTTGATTTGTCTATTCTGCTCCCCGCTCTGCCTCTGGTGAATCGTCTCACTGCTCCTGCACCTCTGGCCTGCACCCCAGTTCTGTATGCATAAATAAATAAATCTTTAAAAATAACAAACAGTTTGGTTGGAGAGAAATAGTATTTTCTTTTTGTTTTAAGTTGTATTGTTTTTATTTTGATTTCAGCATTTTCTATGAATTTACTAGCCATTTCAACTTGTTTTCTGCATTCTCTACTCTCACTATTTATCTTCTGTTGAGAAATTGATCTTTTTCTTATTGACTTGAGCAAAAATGTCCAGCTGACAGTTTTGATATTTGGTTTTGAAGCTAAGAGAAATCTGATGCCAGAGATAAAAATTCTAAGATCTTTCACATACAATGAATATCTAGTTATACCTGGGGAGAAGTATGGAGAGATCAACCAATAACGGGTAAATACAGTCTAAAATATAATCTCTGGAG